TCGACTGTTCAGATATCCAAGAAGAATACACGCGGATCCTCAACAAAAGACTTGATCTTGCGCAGGAAAAGGACAGCTTCTCTGCCGTCGATGAGGCGGTGATCGTAGGAAAGAGCCACATACATCATTGGTCGAATGACAACTTGGCCCTTCCTGGCGACGGGTCGTTCAAAAGTGCCGTGCAGGCCAAGGATAGCGGATTGTGGTGGGTTCACGATCGGGGTGCTGAAGAGTGATCCGAAGATGCCACCGTTGCTGATGGTAAAGGTGCCCCCGTCCATGTCCTCCACGGCAAGCATCCCCGACTTCGCCTTCTCGCCCAACTCGAAGATGCCCCGTTCAATATCGGCAAAATTCATATTGTCGACGTTACGCAGGACAGGCACCACTAGGCCCTTGGGCGAGGCCACCGCGATGCTTAGGTCAATGTAATTCCTATAAACAATCTCGTTGCCATCAATATAAGCATTGACGATGGGTTGATCACGAAGTGCATACGCGGCAGCCTTGCTGAAGGTGGACATAATGCCGAGTTTGACTCCGTGTTTCTTAGCAAAGGCCTCCTTAAATTGATTGCGCAAATCGATTAGATTGCTCATATCGATTTCGTTGAAAGTCGTAAGCATAGCACAGGTGTTTTGAGCCTCCTTGAGACGTTCTGCTGTTCTGAGACGAATGCGAGTCATCTTGACCCGCTGTTCCGACCGGGAACCGCCTCGGAGAAGTGGCGGAGCCTTTGAAGCGGCGCTGGCGGGCGGAGGCCTTGAAGGTGCTGGGGGAGTAGGGGGAGCAGGAGTTGGCGGAGCAGGCGCGGAAGGCGCAGGAGCTGGAGTCGCTTTTGCGGCGGGTTCCGCGGGCTTAGGTTTCTCGGGTTCCGGTGCCTTGGCCTCGACAGCCTTCTCATCAACTTTGCCGATCTCTTGGGCGTATACAACTTTCTCTCCGTCCTGGATGAGCAGTTCGGTGATGACGCCGGTGCAGGGAGAAAGTACGGGGATGGCGGTCTTGTCGGTTTCAATCTCCGCGATTATCTCATCTGTCATAACAGTGTCGCCTGCAGCCTTCTTCCAACTCAAATCTCCCTCGGAAATGGATTCAGGGAATGCAGGAACCTTGATTGTCTGAATATCCGCCAAACAGATTGAAGAATGAAGCTGTCGGGCGGAGAAACTGTCTGGCAGCCTAAAAGGAAACAATGGGAGAAAAAACAAGGAGTGTCACGTGAAGCCGGAGTCCACATTTTTCCACCTACGTGAAAATATCTGAATGCAGACTAGTGCAAATGGGAAAAATTAGTCTTTTGGACAAGCAGAGTAGACCCTCAGGGAAGAGCCGCACTTCCGCCAAAGACAGGACCGAGGCAGAAACCACCACGTTAAGGGAAGGACATAGCGTAACAGCGTAACAAACGCCAACCGTGAGCGTAAAACGTTAAACACCACGAAAGCGCATACTAAGACAAAACCATCGAAACGGAAATTGTTGATGGAAAAAAGGAAACGGGACTCAATCCCTTCTTCGAAGCGAGCGATCAAACTGGCGACTGACTGCGATGGGGTATATCAAAACACGCGTTACGTTGTTCAGTCAGTCTTCCCGAACGATTGCGCATTTTGGGCTGTATGAGCCAGGGTCGGAGGTCTCTTACCCGCGCACCCAGAGAACGATCCCTCAAATGAAGTAAATGGATCTTTTCAATGAGACAGCCCGCACTCGATAGGAGAGCATAGTGGTTCTTTCAGCCCATGCACAAAAGACGATTGAGGTGGCTTTAGCACGTTTTTTTGCCTCTCTCCTAATGAGGTGAGTATCATTTCGCTAAAGCTGACATCGGTCGCTCACGGGAGACGGCAAAAAGGTTTGCTCGAAACCTGATTCGACACATTTCGTCAGGGCATTGGGACGGTTTTTTAGATTTTGATCTTCGTCGCCGGGAAAATGGGTGAGTCACAGCCTCCAGAACTACTGTCGATGGGTGTTAAACGTGGAGTATTATCTGCTTCACCGCTGAGATCAGTTAGAACACTGTAACCCTTAAGTATTTGCACACTAGCTGGGTGCGCACGCATGCTTTCGCCCAATGGGAAAGTGACCATCCATCAAGCCGATTGTTAACCGCTGTCCAACAGAGTACCGCCTCCAGGCAAAGTGGATTGATATTGCGGAAACTTTTGTCATCAAGTCCATGCATCTAGTCAATTGTAGGTGCTTCGCTTGGCGCGACGGGAAACTGCATACGAGCGACAATGGTACAGCGAACAAACATGACGAAATTAACTACTGAACGAGGGGTCGAGGCGGTGGTTCCTGATAAGGAATGTGGTCGAAACCTTGGTGGGATCGCCCGAATGTTTAGGCTCAGAAAGTTGGCCAAAGGATCAGTCAGTCCGAACTCAGTTCTGATGTCATTGCAGAGATTGGATTTTTTTGCGTTTGAGGAGTCCCAATGTCTGAAATGTAGGAGTGTGGTAAACGAAACAATACGCTTAAGGTGCGCTCACAGTAATGCCCGTCAATGCATAGTCGAAAATCGACTAGTAGATATCGGCGCGTGAGAACAGGCGCGCTATCCACTGCTGCGTCTTGCTGCTTTGTTACCACCGCCAGACGATACTTACTTTTAAGTAAAGTACAGCCAACTGCCGGGCACATGGGCTTGATGACACAAGCTGCGTCATTATCGGTCAGCATTGTGACAATGTGGAATTCCAATGGACTGTGGTTAACAAGCTGGCTAATTTATTTTGATTAGACTGTGAAGGACTCGGCAACCTCGGTGGAATTCAAACCCACGACTGCAGGGAGACGGCTTGAGTAGAGTCAACGCTCTAAACACCTGAACTATGAGGTTCCGCTGGTATTCGTGGGCTTAATCACATCTGGGTCAAGTTACCCGCCCAGTTTACTAGGACGTATGGACGCCACCAGATATCATACAGTAAGCTGAATGGCCAAGCAGGATTTCCTACGTAATCCATCTAGAATCCACAAGATGCCTACCAGGCTCACATAATTAATAGGAGTTTTGGCAGATTTTTAATAATTTATTTTTTACCCAAATGTGAAAAGCTCGGCGACCTGGGTTGGATTCGAACCCACGACAGCAAGGGGATGACTTGAGTACAGCCGAGATTTCCGCGGTTGGGTCAAAGTAAACTACTTGCGATTTGCCAAAACACCTATTAATTTGGTAGTGGCCAGACATTTGCCACGAGGTCTAAAATGCATACGAGCTGACCACGTGCGCTCTTGGTGAGTGCACATAGTTCGCGTGTCACGTACCCGCATCAAAATCAGCTGCTGAACAGCGCGATAACGAGACCTACTCGATGCTACAAGAGTTAGTTGAAAGACTCCCCCACCACGATCTGGTGATTGTTTCCAGGAACCAGAATGGTCAGACTGGACACGGCGACTGCTCAGTCACTTTATTGGCCGCTTCAGGCTGGGTTATCGGTGAGACAATGATGAATGTTGAACGCCGTTGATCAGAGGTGACTGTTCGTCACCAACACGTGCTTCTAGCATCGCTATAAACATCTGCTGATCCGGAATTCCACCGACGGTCATAGGGCCAGTCAGATCGACTACATTCTAGTCTGTTCAGGGTTTTGCAGCTAAGTTAACGATTGCGAAGCGATGCGTGGTGTCAAAGTTGATAAGGCCTATGGGCCGGACCATGTTCTCATTCGCATAAGCCTGAATGTTCAGCTGTCATCCGCGCACAAAATGTCAACTGCAAGACGCCTTGGTGTTAAGAAGTAGATGATATAGCTGGAACAAGAGATTTATTCGCTTGACGCTTCAATTCATGTCCGAATCCATCATCAGAAACAGGATCAAATACGCGTAATTCATGCGCAAGAACTTGCGGCATCCTACAGGGCGCAGATGAAAATTTACGGCTCCCCCTCCTCCACCTTTTTCACCGAGGAAAGGTGCCCTCTGGCACGCTAATCGCTTGCTGGCCGGCATGTAAGCCGTCAACTGCTGAAATTTAGTCACCCGTGTCGGAAGTTGGCGTGATAGTTACTCAGCCAACCGGCTCGCCGGCCTGCGCGCTTCCCGAGTGGCTAATTACTTCGGTCAAACTAAGTCTCAGCATCGAACATGGGGTGGGGAGGTCATTGCGCTTGTTGGTGGGCTGCGGGCCTGAGAACCAAGACTAGAGCAGCTGGCGGCTCACGCAACTGTCACCTCTTGCGAGAATTTCGGCCTTTTGACGCTTGAAAATATGGCCGGCGTAGTTACTCTGTGCGCAACTGCACCAGAGCCGAAAACGACTCCAGACGCTTCCTGCTGTTGCCCTCTATTAAACTATCCATCAGGTTAGTCGTAAGCCCTCGGCACCCAGTAACTCTGTTCACTATGTGCATGACGGCTTTATTGCTGACAACTCGGCCAAAGTCGCTCAATGGCGTGAGCACTTCGAACGAATTCTCAAATTCGATGATTAACCGATCACGTCCTCGCTTTCCTTTACAGCGAAGTCCTATCCCTCTAAAAACTTTGCATGTCATGCGACGCCGTTTACGAGGGAGAAGTCGACGATGTAACACAAAGGCTACGCAACAACGCGGCACCCCGGAGTGACGGCATTTTCCTTAAAATCAACAGGTCTTGCGTCGATACTGGCACTCTGGCTCCATGAAGTGATTGAGCATGCGCGCCGAGATGAGGTCGTTTCTGATGACTGGTCTTGGGTATCCTTATACCTGCCTTCAAGAGGGGAGATAGGACAAGGTGCGGGAACTATCGCGCATAAACCTTGTCGGTATTGCTGTGAAGGGCTTCGCTGTTATCCTTCTCAGGCGATTCCAGGCTGTGCGTGATTCTAAGATGAGGCCCGAATAAGTCGGATTCTGAGCTGGGTGTGGATGAGCGGACCAGATATTCACATTGCAGCACGTTCTTGAATCCCGCCATGGCTACCAGCAACCGACAGTCGTCTGCTTTGTTGGCTTCGTGACTGTGTCCGACTTCGTCCACCGTGAATCCCCGTGACCGATAATTGAACTAGATAGTGTGCAGTCTAAAATCATCACTATGATCACGGGCCACTATCGCTCCACCACAGCGCGAGTTCTCGTCCAAAACAATCTCCCAACCATACGATACACAGTCTGGCGTTCGACAAGGTGGTATCCTTGCAACCATTACGTTCAAATACGCCACTGACTGGATTGTCCGATGGGTCCTAAACGGTTTTGGCAGTGTTGAATTTGCATCCGGACGCCGGCTGGCCGACCTCAACTACACTGATGATATCTCCTTGTTAACTGCAGGCTTTGGTGATCGACAGTCTGTGGTGTCACGGGTGAATGAGGGTGCTAAACCGGTCGGCTTACGCATAAACGTTGGGCGAACTCGTGTTTTCGAGTTGAATTCCAGACCGGGGGGAGGCATCTCTCGAGGTTAGCGGCTGTCAACTTGAAGTACATAGTTTCAAATACCTCGGGGCAAGGCAGATGCCGAGTGGACAGAGAAAGGACGACACTGTCTCCTGAATCGATGCTGCTCGCATGTTCTTCTCAATCCTTAGAAAGTATCTATGGATCCAACGCGATATCTACATCGAATGTACTGCGTATCCGTCCGGTCAATCCTTCTCTACGGGTGTGAATGCTGAACCGTGCGCGTGGAAGAAAACTGGACGAATTTGACCACCGCTGCTTCAAAAACACCCTTCGGATGAAGTACACTTAGTCTAAAGTAAGACGGTCTGTGCTCGCTGCGACATTATCGCGAGGATATCCCAGAGCATTCAAGAAAGACGCCTGAGGTGGTTTGGACACGTGTTTCGCCGTCCGCCTCATGAGATCGGCGTTGCTGCCCTTTATCCGGTGCCGTTGTCCAATTGTAGACGTCGAAGATCAACTCGAAACCCGGCTGAAAAAAGTTCGTCAGGGCATGGAAGCGGTGCTTGGATTTTCGGTAACCGGTCTCCGAGGCTAGATAACAGGATGGGCTGAGCTGCCGTGGATCGTCACGCGCGGAGAAGTATAATCCGTGACTTAATCGAGGTCTGCCATATCAGGCATAATCACAGCAGTGCCAAGTGCAAGTAAAGTTAATGGAAAAAGCTGTATGCACGCAGAGGAAGGTCAGTGAACATTTACTAGGACGCGACAATGGGCACAAGAAAAAGAGCCCAGTGGAGTACTTGTGGACAATTCAGCCAGAACTAATGCTACTTTAGCTTGCTCCAGGAATTATAGCGCCACAGATCTGTGCAACGAATGCCCTGAGATAAACGACTGACTTTTGTCTTCTGCTGGACTATGTGGCAAGAGCACAGGCATTTGTAGAGACGACAGAGCATGAGGGGTCGCCTCCTGCCACAAGCCAGTTGACAGATCAAGTGAGCTAAAGTAGACAAAACAGTGGATCTGGTTGGGGGAACGTGCATTTATGCAGGATGAAGTCGTCAAACAGCCATCTGATTTTAGCGGAATTCGGTATAAGAAAAATCTGCGAAAAGTGCCGATTATGCGACTAATGGCAGAATGCACATCCTCGGAGGAATTTTCCAGCAGGGTGATATTGACGGCATAATAAAGACTCGAGGCAATAAGGACATGTCCTATATAGACGCCTCGTTGTGAAATGCGTTGCGTGAGAACTCTTCCAGCAACAGCAGTCTTGAAAGGGGATATAGACGCAGTCCAAAGCGGACGCTGTTTGTCCAAATTGCACCCGTCAGATGACAACTCGAGTGGAACACGGATTCCAGACGCTGAAAAAAGTGCATTCCACTCCTGGCACAGCGGTGTTGCCAACACCGGTCAACACCTAGTCACCTGGCACTCTACGGTCAAACTCAAAAAATCGACTTGCTTGCCAGAGCACGCCGTGTTAGCACAGTGAGAGACTGTTAGTTGTGCGATGTCGACACACAGGTAACAAGAATGGCTCCTGGGAGGGCTCGGACGCAGCTCAGACTACTTGCTATGGAAATGACCACCAATTAGAAAATACGACACCCATCGGCTCACCCTTGAGACCTCTTTAGTTAAGGCAACCAACTTGAACTGTAGCCTACTCTTCAGGGCTTAGAATGGTTGTTAAGCTATAACCGGCGACGTGTGGCTATAGTCCCTGGTATAGTGAGTCTGAAGCAGGAAGTTGGCCAAAACAGTCGACGGACGTCATTAGATGTAATACAAGCTTAGAGCTGCGAATCGACAAACCAGCCTCGTCTTGTACCACCGCGTATGGCTGTAGTGATATTGCTGGCAGTCAACAGTCATGTAAGCGGATTACGTCCTTCAGAGTTAACACGTAAAGCTAGGTATGAGGGCGCGAGTTCGGCGTGCAAAACCAGATTCACACACCTCAATTAACTCAGTACTGTCTTACTCGCGACTAGTTCGATTACGTGTCAGCAAAATCGCAGGCAAGATTTTGCTTAGATGAGTAACCATGAAAGGTAATATGTCTCATGGTGGGAAGACTTTTATGTCGGCGCAATTTAGTCTTCAGTTTCCGCTTAGCCTGACACGTGCACATAGAGGTCAGCGAACGGAACAAGGCGGAAAACAGTCGACCACTTAAATGCGTTGTGAGGTTTTTGGCGCACTTGACTTGGCTGGACATTGTAACCAACATTCGGTGTGTAACGCCTATTGTTAAGTAGGAGATTGTGTATTTTACGGACTTAGCGATACACGTAATTAAAGACAGTATATCGCTTTGGTTATTCATTGTGTGGACAAAGTCCCGACCGCCATGTTGCCACCACACCAGTAATCGGACAGGACATGGGCAAGACTGCGTGGGAGATTGCCGAAGAGCAGGTCTAAGTTCGCACTGTGAAACTGACCTGCTCCACTTGCTACATAGCATAAAGCATTACGCAGGTGACCCAAAAACGCATGTGATGGGTAACTGCTACGAGAAAAAAATGGTTGTTAGCAATGATGAAAGCTGGTGAAATGCGGGTAGTTCATAACTTAGACTGCTAATCTTTAAATAAAGGTTCCGTGGACCACTCGGAAGGCTCGACTTCTTCAACAACTATTTACCAGCCCTATTGGCAGTGATAATCGGGTGGAAGTTCGACTCGCGTGATCATTTAAAGGTTGACACATAATACGCCACTAGTACCAGTGTACATCACTTTACTAGAATATGTAGGAGGGCGTTAACTTGACCCTAATCTAGCGTTGATAGGCCAGACTGGGCGAGAATTATAATTTCGGTTAAATGTAAGTCGACACTGGTTTTATATCCTAACTATTTCCACAAACCCGACAATTCGTTTATTGTTTCTCAGTATTTGATGGATTATACAAATCAGTCTGGTCATGATATGTATATGATGCCTATAAAAGTTAGGTACATCCAGCACGTGCCAGGAATTTCTGTCAGGGCCCATGAAAATAAAAAAAATGGAGCAAAAAATTACCTGCAACAGCGAGCGAAACTAGTGTTCGTTGCATAATTGGCGAATTTTCCGGAAGTTAGCCGAACACCCGCTCTACAAGAGAGCTGGACAGACAGTGCACGACCGACAACACGGAACATCCAGACGGATCGCAAACAGCGAAATCTCTGTATCACGCTCCCGTTCTAACAGCTAAAACAAACTGTGGAATGTCGCTCCGGGACCCTCATAGTCATTCAGTAATCTCAGCAGTTAGAGATTCCGAATATTTGCATGTTCTGCTATAGTCTGATACCTTTCTACAAGAATTTTCAAGAACACACAAATAAAGCTGAACACTGGAATGTTTGGAGGAAATTTAGAAAGGGAATTGGTTTCAGTCACATATAGTCAACTATATGCAAGAACATTGGATTTATGTGAAAATCAAGAGCTTCTGAATAAATTGTTGCTCTACTGTGGGGGCTATACTGGCATTAAGCGCTGGTCCAGTGCTTGACAGGAACCAGAAAGTTATGGTCAAGAACAGATAGGGTATCAGGCAAAGAACCGTAGATGACGCGTTCACCTTTTAAGAATTTAAATTGCAAAAAAACTAGGTAGTTGAAAGATAATAAACTGAGGCGTAGCAAATAGGATACTACTGCTGGAAGGTGGAAAGGGGGACCGGAAATGAGAGCGAGAGATAGCGGACTAGGATGACAAATCCTGGAAAGTCGCTGGAGAACATAAAGTATTTTCCGAATCTTGTGCTTACTGTTCAGTGTATTTGAGGCAGTAGACCTGCACATTTAAACTCTCTATTAGTCATATAAAATCGGAATAATCAGCAACAACGCGAAGAAATCTCAGCATCAAGTGAATGTAGACCTAGATCTACATAGTTCATTGGTTTTTATGGTTTTACAGTCACATAATCCACCTGTTGCTGTAGCGTGTGTCTGCCAAGCCGATATTTAAATTCTTCCACCGACTGAGACGTTATAATCTCCCTGAGCATGTCGTTCCACGGTTCCAGAACACGGTTGGAGAAATATAATTTCCCACATCCAGTCTTCCTTGGGGAACACGTAGTTTGAAGGTTCTTTGTAGTGGCGAGATGGAAAAAGTCGTCACACAGGAGGCCGCAGTCCAAACCACGCATGATATTGAAAGTCTGCATCAACTCACCGTGCAATTGTCTATAACTCATAGGATAGAGACTAAGGTTATTCTGGCGAGTCTCATAAGGCAGTGTACTCTCCTCTAACTAGTTTTGTGTCTCTGCACCCTTTTGAGTAGATTGCAATCCTGCTGCGTCTAGGGTCTCCAGGGCTAAATCGCACATTAAAGATGCGGCCTTACAATCGTGCTGCGGACTTTGGAGAAGCAGTTATCAGCGAAAGCTGCAAAAACCTGCTTGATAGCAAGCTGCATTGGGTTTGCGGCTTTAGCCGCCTTACAACGCTGTATTTAAGACTTTAGGGCATCTGTTATCCAGGCCTTTAGGTCTGTCTGTTTCTCTGCTTCTTGGCGCAGCATTCCGTTCAGATGGTATTGGCGCTCAGTAGGGGCCGGATTCTGATTTTTGGGAGGCAGTAAGATCCATTTCTTTGAGTTAAAAGACAGGCGCCTTCTGGGGGACCACTCGTCAGTCGACGAAGATTATCTTCGTAACTGGTTTCGTCGGCGGCATTGAGAATAACTCATCAGATTTTTTATCTCAAGCAGATATGGCACAATCACAGTCCAATCCCTTTACACATTCATAAATGGGCAAGAGAAAGAGGGTTGATCCGAGCACCGAACATCGTGAGACTCCACTCTCTTTGACCGTATGCCTTGAATGCTGTTGTTCTACACAGACAACCTGGGGATGACCGATGAGGAAACTTTCGATCCATTTAAGAAGGTTGCCCTCAATGCCATAACTCTCAAACTGTCCAGGGGACGCGAGTGAGAAGCGCTGTTGAACGCCTTCCGGAATTCAAAATGGGCCATATGCACAGTGCATTTTCCATCGATTGTTCTTGTTCAGCTTTGCATTGTATATAGCAAGTTCGCTGCAAACGATCTTCCCCACGAAAGCCTACTATGCATTGGGCAAGAGGATGTGAGTTTCCAAACGTGTCATTACTTCCTTTTTGATGGTCTTCCCCATGACTTTGCAAAAGATTCCCGTCAGACTAACGGGTATGTCGTTGGCCGCAAGTGCACGATTACTGCTTTTGTAAAGCAGTGTAATATGGGCTTTTTCTCGTTCTGTGGGAACAATTCTGGCATCAAACGATTTCGCGCACAGAAGTGACATCAAACTACATGTGGATACGAGGTTGGTAGTGTCACTGATGGAGTATTTCATTATTGTAGCCTGTGGCTAACCTCGCCTACCAAAAGCATTCTAGACTTTCAATAAATATCTGCACCTTGCGACCATAAGGATTTGTTTAGCTAACTCGTTTTCTGATTAACTAAAACTGTACGACGAGATTCAGTTTATTTGGTAAGGATAATAGGCAAAGCCTTTGAAGACCCTATTGATTACATGTCAGCTCTTTAGCAATAACTGTTCACGAACATTGAAAATATTCTCTATTAAAACAGTACTTGATTCATTTGAGTACCATTGTCACAGAAAAAATATTTGCGGGGTCGTGGGGTATTAGTTCAGATTCAGACTGTCGAGGGAAAACAGGGGACACAAATAATTATCCAAGCGTTTCTTGAAGAGTTGCAGAGACGTAGCCTCCACGACTGACTGAGGGAGATCGTTCCATTTCTCCACTACCCTCTGCGTGAAAAATTCAGAACGAAGATTCAACCTGGACATTGTTGTCCGTAACTTCATCAAGTGACCACGAAGATTGGGTGAAAGGTGCCATTGAAACATGTCCTCAAGGTTAAGTTCATGCACAAGGCCATGTATTATCTTGTAGACGAGGATAAGATTACCACTTTGCTGCTTGTATTACAGACATGATTACTTAAATCCGTCTATAAATGAAGGTCTGCATAGTTTCTGAGGGTGTCTTCGATGACGCCGCGTATGCGTCGGAAAAACTGCAGCTACTCTATTTTAAATGCCTTTGACGTTTCTGCGAGGTCTGTGCATTACAGCCACCGATACAAGGGAGACAGCTGGAGCCTATTTGGATTCATAATAGACAAAAGAAATGGTTTGCAGCAACGCTAAGATGGAAGAAAACCCAAGATGTTGCCTAGCGAGGAGCTGGACAAGGGCAGCCGTGTGAGCGCATTTGCATTACCCGGTTACTACTTGGCCACATGCCATTCTTTTCTTAGCGCAGAATCGTTCCTTAGCTTAGCGATTATTTTACCCTCATCACTCAATTAGTCCAGTCTGGCAAGCAAAAATCGACCGTTCTTCACACTGCTAGCCTAACACCCCAAATATTAAAGCCTTTTCCTAGTGTAAGCTGCTTCTCGAAACCATTTAGTCCGTTATTTAACATAAACTGTCCATCATATTATGTTCAAAATTCAAAAAATCTTATTTTTCTGCCTCTTAAATTTCCAACCCCACAAAATAGAATTCCTCTTGGTGGGTCCTGCCCAAATGTGTCGCCATACAATGCTGCATTACTACCTTGTAGTAATTTCCCCACAAATTTTAAAGGACACCAACTTAGTCTTCCACATATTGCTTCCTCTCAACAGCTTAATTTCCCACCACCAACTCTCCCTTTTCTATAATTAGCAATGAGCAGAATCTACATATTAAAAATACACTCACTATTGTCTCTCCCAACGCAAGATCAATCGTGCAAAAGATGGCGCAACTAAGAAGTGTGGCTGTTGAGTTTGACCCAGATGTATTGTGCATTACTGAATCGTGGGCTTACTCTCCAATTTCAGACTCGGCACTCAATATAGATAGCCTAAGTTTATGCCGCCAGGATCATGTCGAAGGACGCGGCGGTTGTTGCTTTCTGTACATCAGAGTCTCACTGGCACAGTCGCTTTATTACCTGAACATTTCCTCTTTCTCTGGAAATCCATGTTTCGCTTCTGTAAGACTTCCGCAAAATAGGGAAGCCTTAGTCGGGTGTGTATGTAATCCTCCTTGTTACTTCGGAAATGAAAGCCAACTATGTGAACTCTTTGAAAAAATGCAGAGACTTCTTCCGATGTCAAGATCATCGTAGGCGATTTTAATTTACCAGAAATTAACTGGCACACACATACGTCCTCTCCTAAATTTCTGGAGCTTCTAGACACCATTCACTTTTCAAACTCGTCTCAATTAGTCCACTCCTCGACCAGAAACGATAGTGTATTATTTTCAATTTTTAATAATGGCATCTTCACTCTATCTGCGAATTTCTATCCTGACCATTTCGCAAGTGATCATTTACTAATTCATCGTCGCCTTCCAATTGCCATTTCCGCAAAGCCAACATTACAACGTAGCATTTTTGACTTTGCTAAAATTAACAAGGAACTAGTAAATAACTTGGCACAATATTCTTTCAAATAATTATCTAAATTTTTTCAACAATTTATTACAGCATGTAACAGAAGGTCTTCCACCTAATTCCACGGAAGACGTTTAAATTAAGCGCCACTTCCAGCGCTGTCCCACACTTTGCTAAAAACAGACTTAAAAAGTTATGCAAGCAGCGTAAAGATACTTCCATGAGCTCATTATCAGTGCACCTAAGAAATATTTTAAAAAATGAGGCCCGCGCGAGATAAACGTAGAGAGTGGCAATCAGTGGTGTAAGTGCTTCTTTTATTTTCTCCCATTTGGAGCGATCAACTCAATACCTCAGGGCAAATAAACTTTTTATAAGTCGAGACCAGACTCCACTGCAACGAAAAATTTCTCCCATATTACCAAACGTAAAGCCACCCCCGAATTCTACCCAAATG